CCAACCCATGCTTCAGCAGCTGGTGATAGGTTGATAGCACTGAGACTTAAACCCCTGAGCCACCAGGAAGGCCACCAGTTCCATCTCTTTAATTATATTCCTATCTTCCACTTCTCCCTTCTATTCTCCTAGTGGAAACCTTTATCATTCTTGTTTAAATAACTTTATTCCAGTCATGAGGCTGGTCTTTCCACTTATGTCACTCGTGATGGTATTATAACTTATTCTCCATTGACAATATCATAACTCACAGCATGTCTTTGCCCTGCTTAAAAACCTTTATTTTCCAGAATGCTTGGGAAAAAATTTAAATGACAGAGCTAAAGGCTCTGCATGACCTGGTTCCTTCCAACCTCTCTAATCTATAATGCTTTTCTTTCTCAGATCCAGCCAGGTTGCTGAAAGTTCCTTAGGCCAAGTCCAAACTGCCTTCCATAAGGACCTTTGCCCCTGCTGATAAATTGGCCTGGACATCTCTTTGTACAACTGAATTCTTTTCATCTTTCAGCTTTAGTGCAAATATCCTATTTCCAAGAATTCTTCCCTGCAAAATGGGGGTTCAGGGAGACTATGAGACTACAAAGAGGATCCACAGCTGTGGAAATGTGGAACAAGGAAGGAGTTGTGTTTTCTGACTCCTCGTCCACCATTCCTGCCACGACTTATGCCATTTACATATAGTTCTATAATGAAGGAGATGTGAAATGATAGTTTCTATTTTTTTTGTTTGTATTATTTTGACTACAATGTTTAGGACAATGGTGAGAATATTACCGATTTCAAATAATTTACAAGTGGTTGAGATTGAGTGAGGCATGATCAATTTTGACTATTTGAGAACAAATATACACACTTACATGCATCCACCAAACCATTCAGCCTTGGGTTCCTTTTCAGAAGGAAAGGATCCCTTACACACACACACACACACACACACACACACACACACACACACACACACACTGAGAGAGAGAGAGAGAGAGAGAGAGAGAGAGAGAACAAGTGTGAGCACAATCCTTTTGCTACATATTGGTTTGAAATGACCTTGGAGGCTTACATTCAAGAAACAATCAGAAAAGATCTCATGATAGGTTCTTTGATTTAAAACACAAGCATGAACATGGATGGAGCTGGAGGGGATCATGGTCAGTGAAATAAACCAGAAAGAAAAAGAAAAATACCGGATGGTCTCACTCACAGCAGGAATTTAGAAAACCTAAATAAGGGATCAGGAAAAAGACTAATTATAATAAAGTAAAAATCAAAATCAGCAGGCAACTATAAACCAGAGACACACTACAGGGGGGGAGAAGGGAGTAGGATCAAAACAAGGTGGTGGGAATTTTACAGGGACTATAACCAAGATGAAAATGCATACATTGTACAAAAATAAAAAATGATGCATAAAATAAAAAAAGAAAATTAAAAAATAAAACAGAAGCATGATTTAGGCCCAGTATATACCCTTAAATATTTCCTTTAAACTAGGGTGTTACAGATAAGCATAATTTTTCCTCTAAGATATTTTTCTCATCCAACATTGTCTGGCAAATAAAATTTTTTCATCCATGTGTGACTCACTCTCACCCTTTAAACCTTGAGACTCCCCATTGTCTGCTGGTCTCTGAGTTAATTATCCCAGTCTCGAGCACATGGAATGCATATGGCATGTGTCACCTTGGACAGGTTAAGTCAAGTGAATTTAAAGCTTCTAATGTCTCCCAATGAAGGGTATCATGTCTATATTTAATGCTCAGTTTTCACAATCAGAATAACTTCTATAATTGTATATATCCTCTATCTCCAGTTGAAAAAGGTAAATGGATTTCAGCAGTTCAAATATTATCAAGAAAGGAATGTAGATTCTTCTTGGGTGGAGCCCATATTAGGTAGTGGAGGATTATAGATTTCTGAAAACAGTATAGGGTAGGAAAATACGCAAAGGAAAAATATAGACCAAGATTGGTTGTCTATGATCTTCAGCTGGGCAAATATGGCTCACCTCAATTTTGTTGGACTATCCCCCCACTTTAGCCAATAATGTGTACATTTCTTTGTAACTGTACCAAATAGGAAATAAGGTTAGTCTGTATGACTTACTTATTCTAACTGAATCCATGCTGGGTGCTAATGATTGCATTCTTTTTTAAATGCTCCCAAGCCATCTGTTTAATAATCTATTCTAGAATTATGCCTGAGAAGAATCTCAACGCTAGTGAAGTAGAAAGATCCACAGGCAAAGACCAGGAGATCTAGGCTCTCCTCAGCACCCAGTTACTAACTAGGTCAGGACCTTACCCTGTCTCATCCGGGTTTATCTCTAAAATGAGTGTGTCAAAATAGATCTTGATGGCTCCTTTAAGCTATGAATCTATATCGGTCTGCAGTTCTTAGAATCTACTCTTTCCCCTGATTTGAAAATCAGGACCTTAACGAGTTATAATTTTTAAATATTTCTTTCTTTTTGTTTTTATTGAGATAAATTGGTTTACAATATGATTCAGAGATACAGGATCACATGTCTTCAGGTACATGTTGGCACACCACACCTGCCACCAAGGTTCCCACAGTAATCCACAGAATCATCTTTGGGTCTTTCTGTCTTTTGTGTTCTAGATCTTGCTCATTAAGTTGCTCATTGAGTGGTGCAAGAAGTTAAGAATCTGTGGGTCTTAGATACCTTACTTTAAAAATGAAAGGGGGGCCTCCCCGGTGGTGCAGTGGTTGAGCACTGAGCTGCCTACAGCCTCTGCAGCACCAGTTCAATCGCCAGCCAGCCAGCGAGGGTCCCACATGGCACGCAGACCTCTCCTGCCACGCCCGCTGCTCCCCTGAGCAGTGTACTTCGTCAGTCTGCCTGTTCTGCTCCCTGCTCTGGCTCTGGTTAATTCTCTCACCCTCCAATGCTTCTGACTGTACCCAGTGCTTGTATAAATAAATAAATAAATCTTTAAAAAAATAAAAAAAAATAAAAATGAAAGTGCATAAATCTGATGGCCTCTAAATCTCTGAGCATGAGTCCATAATGCCCAGGCAATGTCAAGCAAGTATTACTTTTGTGTTCACATTCTGTACAATCTTGGAGTAACAAGTATGGTGTGTTTGACCCTAGAAAATGGAACAAACTCATGACTAGGGCAGAAATTTTAGATATTTTCAGTTAAATAATTTATTGAATAGTAATTAAATTGACCACTTGTTTTTCCCCTTGCCTTGCATTGAAATGATCTTCAATTTCTAATTCACACTGAATATTTTAAGGCTTTTCTCTTTTCCGTTTATTTGTACTGGTTAAGGGCAATACACTCATTTCAGAGAATGCCACAAAAGCTCTAAGTTTAGGGGATTGGGGTTTCTAAAGCTGCCTCTGTTTCTTTATCTCACAGGTAATGAATGTTTTCAGTTATGGAGCTGTTTTATTCTGGCCTGATGGGGTTTTGCATGATGCAGTGTAGATGATTCCCACAGTAAGGTATGATCTTTATTCTTTGACTAAAAACTAAAAATAGAGCCTTCAACTCATCCTGGACTCTCAGCTGTCATATGCCATGGAAATCTGGACACTTGGTATGGTTGCTTGTAGCCTCAAAAAATCACTGCATTCTTAAGGCTAAAATGAAGAACAAACAAATAGATGTATAGGAACCTGGAATACTGCTTCATTTTCTGTGGAATTTATCCTGGGTCAATTATGCAGCTGAAGGTGGTTTTCCTTCCAAATTTATTTAAATGCAATTCTTTTCAAAGGCGAGTAAAAGTAGGTAAGGCCAGGAAAAAAGACAGTCTGTTTAATCATGTAGACTAGTTAAGTATACCTTCCTAATAATAATAAATACTGATGGGCCTTTACTGTTTACATAGTCTATTTTGGTTGGGCAAATCATCTGTGATTCTCACTGCAGAAATACATTGAGATTTAGTGAGTGCTTTGCCTCAAGTCATAAACTAATCAGTAGATGCACCAGAACTGAGACCTAGAATTTATAATGTTGCCACTTTACACTTTTCCACTACCAGTACCCTATACTCCATTCCACCACCAATGAAAACCAGCAGAATATTAGGTGAATTCAGTATTCTCTTCTTCATGAATCTGGCCCAGATGCACTCAAGGACACATAGTTTGTCCTTGTTTTTGAATATCTCTTTTAGATAATGTTTGGGTCGCATAATTGATGCTTCTTCTTTAGTTATTTGGAGCTTTCTCATAATTATGTCCCCACTGGATTGTCTATTTCTTTTATAAAAACCTCTGTCAACACAGAACAGAGCTGGATTCATAATAGGTTAATGATTTTAGTTTAGGAAAAATAAACTTACTGGCAGAAAAGAAGGCTATCCAAGATCTAGAGTTACAAATAGACCTCCAGTGTCTTGCCTACTTTGGAAGCTTGTTCTGGTCATGTGAGTGGATTGCCATGTGAAACTCCAGTTAGTCAGAGACTCACCAAATTTCAGCAGTAGAAGGGGAAAGGGAGTTAAAATACCTCACTTAAGTCCTCAAGACTCTGGATGATAAAATTCTATTCTTAAAATATTTTGCTGGGAAGGATTCACCAATGTCAACAAATCCATTACTCTTGTGACTGAATTAGTTGGTGAATTCAGTCATACAATTCATAGTAACAGGTAACGAAATTTTAAAATATTCAAATTGAGTTTATATGTTCCTGTAGCTAATATTTATTCCAAACCTCCCGAGCTTGTGCCCGGTAGTAGGCAGGACGCCCCAACACAAAGCTTGCTGTGACATCTCATTAGGTCTTAGACCAACCTATGGAGACAAATAGGGAACCAGTATATTACATTTCTTTTAGGAACTAGGTGAGGTGGAAATAGCTTTAGAGAATATCTGTTTACATAGTTAGGAGCAGAAAAACAAGGGCCATTCTGCTCTTCTGCTAGTCTCAATAGTCCCTTGTCGGTGACATTGGGAGTTGACATGGAAAATCACCTCAGTGGATGCCAGACCCTCTTCCAAACTTGTGCCTTCATCTTACCTGCTTTGAAACTATGCCAGTTATCAATGTCTCAGTTCCAAATCCACCCCTCTTTGCCCTTTCTTGTTCTATAGGAGATGGACCCTGGAACATTTCTCCTTTGTCAGCTGGCACAATCTTAGTCCTTGACATTAGAGTGTGGATGGGACACTGCAAGAGGAAGAGGATTCTCTTTTTATTTCTGGTGCTATATTTTCCTTGTTCTCATAGCATAGCAGGAGGCCCTGCTAGTGGCGATGGGACACCCAGTGGTGCACACTGTCCAGTGATTTCCACTACTTCCCCAGTAGGGGGGCTTCCCCGTGAGTCCCCTCTGTACCCTTGTCCTCCAAGGGCAGTTTCCTGCCTGCCAGACCTCACCTATGCATCTTAGCCAACTCTCCCACCATGCACTGGAGCCTTTTCCAAATTTTTTCTTTGTCTGGGCACTCTGTCAGCCCACAGGAGCAACTGCGTTCTCTAGCTGCTATTTCTGTGTATTAAGAGTTCTCTTAGAGTTCCCTTCACCAATGCACCCATGCACCATCACCTTTAAAAATGAACAATGATGTAAAAAATACATAAATAAAATATTACAAAAGAGTTCTCTTTACCCTAAGAAGTCAACTCTTTGTTACTAGTTAATAACTTTTATGTTAGGGCCACCCTGGTGGTGCAGGCAGTTGAGCACAGTGCTATGATGCTGTCTGCAGCCTCTGCAGCTCCTGTTCAATCCCTGCCGGTGGCAGAGCAACCCACAAGGTGCAGCAGACCTCTCCTGTCTCACCTGCTGCTCTCCCAGTAGTGTATTTCGGTCATTCTGCCTGTTCGGTTCCCCGTTCTGTCTCTGGTGAATCCTCTCACCCTCCAGCACATCTGGCCTGTACCCTGGTTCTTGTATAAATAAAATAAATCTTTAAAAAAAACCCCAAACCAAACTATATATATATATATATATATATAAATATAAAAAAAATAATTTTTATGTTAAATTTTCCCAGTCCAAATTACTAGTGTGGTTTCTGGTTTTTTACAGACTCTGACAGATAAAGAAGCCCTTCAAGAATAGGCCTTACTTCAGTCACTGATCCATTTGACTTCAATCGCTGGTTTCCCCTCAGTTCAGCCCTGTTGATAACACTGACCTGCACTGTACTCTCTGGTATTGATTGACACAGGGACCTCACATTATATTGTGCCTTAAAGTTACTCCAGGTGCTGTGAATTAAATGAAGCAGGTTTCCCAGTTACCTGCAATACCACCAACTAGATTGTACCATTTTCCTTCCTCATCACTTACCTCTGCTTGTCAAGGAAGGGGGATGGATCATGTTTTAAGAGCCCAAGAAAGTATGGTCTGCCCTCAAGGCTGTGTGACCTGCAGAAGGAGAAAGCACTGGTTGACTTATTACTGCTATTGGAAGCAAAGGTATTGAATGGTTTTTGGAAACATCCTGTGGCTATTTTGGCAAATTCAGGCATGGCAGCTAAAGGACTCTTAGAAGATGTGTGTGAGATCATATAACGGTAATCACCACCACCGCTATCATCATTTATTGAAGGCTTACTGTGTGCCAGGAACATACTAAGTTATTAACACCTATTACTTCATTTAATTCTTACAGTAAACCAATAAGTAAGAGCTATTAGTATCCTTATTTGAATCAATCAGGGCTCTCCAGAGATAAGAACCAACAGAATATTTGTATATATAGTGAAAATTTATTTTAAGGAGTAAATATCAGCTCATGCACTTGTGGGAGCTGCAAGTCTGAAGTCTAAGTCATGCCAGAATGCTGGAAACTTATGCAGGGGTTGATGTTATAGTCTTGCATCTAAAATCTGTGGTATAGACTGCCAGTCTGGAAACTCAAGCAGGATTTCTAATGCGATAGTCCTTAGCATGGAAAACCTCTGTTTTTGCCCTTGAGGCCTTCAACTGATTGAACAAGGCCCATCAATGTTATTGAGGGTATTCTCCATTACGTCATGCCAACTGACTGTAAAAGTTAACGGCATTGACAAAAACTTTTAACAGCAACACAAAGACTAGAGTTTGACAAAAAAACTGGGCACCATAGCCTAGTTCAGGTAACACTAAAGTTTAATCATCTCATCATTTAATATATGAAATAATTGAAACTTAAATCAAGCAATATGCTCAAATTTATTCAATTAATAAGTGGAAGGGAATACTTGTCTCAGATCTATTGTCTCCAAAGCCCATGCTTTAAAAATGTTAACATTATTTATTAATAGTATTTTGCATATTTATTTGTTTAAGGTAACATTGGTTTGCAGCACTGCATATGACTCAGAGGTGCAGGATCACACCCTTCCAGTGTATGTTACCACACCACACCCACCACCAATAATCCACCCATAGTCCTCCATCATAGTCAATTATTCTTCCCCCTCCCCCACTTAGGTTCCTTTCTACATTCATGTTTCTAAGATTTGTTACTGGTTTAGAAACTTATAAACTGATTCCAATTGAACCTCTGGCATCTATCTGTTCCAGACTGAAGATGTTGGCCCAAATATTTATGACACATTTGTCTTTTCATAATGAAACACCTGCAATCTCAAGGGGCTGGAGTAACATGACTAACTACCCAACACAGCCTTAGCAGAGAGTAATTCTTTACAAAGAGAATTATTTTATACACAAATAATGGTTGGTGAATGTGGTGAACAATAAGAGAATGAGAATCAACGGAAGCGTGTCTGTGTGCATGTCCATGTATGCACTTGTATCTGTGAGCTCAAAGACTGAATCTGGCAAGCCAATGAGAGAATCCACTTTGGGGAACTATTTGTCAGGAACAAGGAAAAGCGTAAATATTTCAAAGTGGAAAGGCAGGCAGCAGAGCAGCACTGGACCCTATGCAGCAGTGGTGTCAGCTCCAGAAAAAATATTTATGGAAAGACTAGAAATGATTTGAATGTGTGAACCCCTCCAAGAGGAAATTGGGGTTTGGTAAAGAGGGAAAGATGAGGAGAATAGAGGACCTAGGAAAATATAATGGGGACACCTAAAATAAAGAGAGGCAGACTATCCCCTGGAAAAATTTCAAGTTCAAAGTGTGCTCCCCTTTGGTATGACCCAATAGTATTGCTACTTCCTAGCTATAAAAACTGAACTCAGGCGCACAGACCTCTCCTGTCTCACCCGCTGTCTCAGTGCTTTCGGTCCGTCCGCCTGTTCTGCTCCATGCTCTTTCTCTGGTGAATCCTCTCACCCTCCCACGACTCTGGCCTGTACCCCAGCTCTTGTATAAATAAAAATAAATCTTTAATAAAAAAAAACTGAACTCGTCTTACTAAATTATTTAACTTTTATTTCTTTGCGGTAGACTTTTAGCATTTATGTAACTTTTTTCCAAATTAATATGTTTTTCTCTTTTTATTTCTTTGAAAATTATCATCTTCCTAGCAAATCTGATATACTCAACTGCCTAAAATAGAGGTCTGGATGAGGACTCTCTAGCAGGTATCTAAAAAAGGAAGCATTTATATTAAACTTTTGCCATTTAATATAGTATTTTGCAACAAAACTACAGGCTTGCATGCCCTACTTGATATAGGGAAAGAGAACTTTCTAAACTACTTTAGGTTTGAATGGCATGATCTTAGAGTTTATTCCTGAAAGTTAGAGATGATAAACCTTCTCTCAGGAAAAATTTGATGAAGGAAAAATTTGAAGTCTGCCTCTTCCAAGTTGGTGGGATTGTGAGGCATAAAATGAAGAGAGTGGGAGAAAAAGGAGATTAGATACCCAGTCTCAACCCTCTGCCAAATCCAACTTCTGGATTCGACCATCTGGTGTGGAGGAGTGGCTTCAGAAAATACAGGTATGGGGCTGTCCAAGAATATTTAGGCCCATGACATACTTTCACTGGCACAGAGGTTGCAACTCTTTGGGAGATATTCTATATACAGGCTGTTCCAACATACTGGGGTGATGCCATGAAGGTGGTAGCAGATGGCAGATGGCGGAGTACAGCAGCTGTTCTAAGCCACATGGCCTATACTTGGTGTGCGGGAGAGCCAGACAACTCTGTTTGCCCCAGTTACGTGATATGGAGGTGGTAAGAATACTGGACTACAGAGTTCAGGAAGAAAATCTTGCCAAAGGCTACAGAGTTGGGGGTTTCTAAATTTGGGGCATGTTTTGGGGAACATGGCTCCAGGGATAGCAGCAACACAGGGTACAGAAGACCAGACGAAACTGGCAGCTCAACAGTCACTAGGCCAGTGAGCAAAACAGTCAGACCCAAGGACCTCTCATGATAACAACCAGCAAGACCCCTCCTGCATAGGAGAGAAGATTGGAGTGGCAAAATATGACAATATTTGCATAGAACTTCATCATGGTAAAGTCAGACATTCTGCTAAGTGAAATATGCCAGTAACAGAAGGACAGATATTGCATGACTCCACTTGCATAAGGTGTGAACGTTAATATTTAGAACCCTACTTAAGTGTGGTCAGGGACTAGAAAGAATGCCTGTGCATGGGCATCAGCACACTACAGCCCCCCAACAGCCTTGCATCTTCGGGGGGGAAATGATGCTGTTTCCCCCCTTAATGAACTGATGGGGCGGTTCTCCAGAGGTTACTTAGGACATTGTTAGCCTTAGATTCAGGGAAGTGCAAGTGGGTCTCTCCATGAATGCAATCTGCAACCTGCCCTCTCTTCTGTTGTTGCCAAATAAACCTAGTTTTGTTGTTGGAATGGCCACTCTTGTTTGAGGTCAATGGAAGTATCTAAAATAGTCAAACTAGAAGCAGAGAATAAAATGGTGGTTGCCAGGGTCTGGGGATAGGGCAAAACGAGCAGGTGCTGAGTGGGTATAACATTTCAGTTACATGAGAAAAGTAAGTCTAGAGATTTGCTGTAGAACATACGCCTACAAGCAATAATGTTATCGGGTTCTTGAGACTTTCCCTCAAGGATAAAATAAGGACTCATTAAACTGACAAAGTAAGCGTTTTATTTAAGAAGTGTTATGGGCTACAAGAAGACCTCCTTAAGGTGAACAAGGTATAGTGAACAGGTGCTCATTTTCTATTAGTAAGCAGGGGTGGTGGGCCTGGCTTTGGAAGGCAGGCAGGCGGGTGGCACTGCCAAGCTGTTCTGGGAGCTCTTTTAGTGGCACAGGCC